GTTTGGGATGGTTCTTAAGACTAATGCCATAGAAACTATGTTTTAGTGCCCTAATGTGTGAAATATTAAAGAAAATAGCAACAAAAGAGGAGTTGAAGGACTTACCAGTGAAGGGCAGTGACTTTTCCTTCGAGCACGAGCTCAAGAATGGCGAGAGAAGAAGGGCAGCAGCTCTAGGATGCTTGAGACGGAAGATGGTCAGTAAGAATGAAACAGAGAGAGACGGGGCACATATATAGCCCCAATTGCCGCCCAAATTCGAATTTCATGCAACGGCTGGTTGGCTACTCGAGGACCAACGGGAGAACGCCACGTGTCCCATTGATGGCAGCGTCAGAATTGAAGAGACAGGAAGGTCAGATGAGGCGTCGACCGAGCAAGCCGAAGAACCAGGAAGGTCAGACCGGGCAAGTTTGAATTAATGCATGTCGACTAGCCCGGTTGCCGATTAGTAAATTGAGGACCGAGGAGGTGATACCCTGGTCGGAATAGGTAATCCCAATCACACTTCAGCGGACGGAATTAAGGGGCAAATTGAGAGGGAGATTAATGATCTGAGATTGGGCCGTGGAATTAGCCGGACAGATTGGGCCGAACGAGGTTGGGCCGAGGTATTTGGCTCCGAGATTGGCCCGTGATCTTGCTTGGTAATGGCAAAGGCCTTGTGGAATCGAGCTACCTGATTTCGGTGGCACGGAGACCAGGCAGGTTAAGGTTCAGTCAGGTAAGGGTTCCACAGCTCGCGCGTTGCTCGGTTGTAATACACGCGCCCTTAGCCCGGCACGACCAAGGTGATCAATCTCCATCTCGGCTTCGTTGGAATGCAGTCGAGAACGACTAGAAATGAGCCTGGTTGGAGAAGCATTACGCCGACAAGTGCGCTTGGGCTTGAAGTGGAGTATGGCCATTGGTAGCCGAGATAATGTTGCCCGGCTGCCGAGCTCCCAGAAGAGTGGACTGGCAATTGGGTTAGGTGATGCTCAGCAAGATTTGTGCTGATAGATGGGATAGCAGCTCCACGTGTCGAGAGACGAATGTTATTGGATTTGGGGCGCAGAATGTATATAAGCAAGTCTGCGCCCCCCATGCTGAGACAGATGACAATTTGGTGAGAAAAACACTAAACACTCTCTCCTCTCTCTCTCTCTATCCCTGTGTGTGTGTCTAACTTGATCGTCGGAGAGATTTTCCCGGCCACACACCGCCGGGTAGCTCACTGCCGTTGTGCTCACAGGTCGATCGGATAGACAAGAGCTTGGAAGAAAGGAGTACGAGCTTGCCTGAATGTTTGCTCCCCGTACAGAAGCTTAGGGATGATTTTCATCGGGTGGCGATGGAGAGTATGTTGGGGAAGAGTTAGGGCATCATGTCCTCGAAGACAGAGGACAGAGGAAAGTGATTGTGGTGATGATGTGGTGAAGGATGTGAAGAAGACGAATTCCAAAAAGAAGAAGCTAAAACGTGTTGGACAGAAAAAGAAAGCTAAAAGTGTTGCGGAGAGTGGTTCTTCTACTCCTAGTAGTAAAACCAGGCCAAAAAAAAACCCTTTTACCACTTCTTATCTACCCCCCTTCAGATCTTTCTCTTTATCAATCTTGTTGGTAAGAGTTTTGATGACGGGGCGGAGCTGTGAATCTCAAATCTAAGCGAGGGATCGTTCTTTGAGGGTTGGTTTGGGAAGTGGGTTGGCTTTTTGGTTTTTTGGCTTTTTTAGCCTGGGCTAAAAAGCTTGGTTTGGGAAGGGCTTTTTGGCTTTTTGGATTTTTGACTTTTTTTATGAGAGAAGAGTGTAATGATTATGGGTTGGATGTGATGTTTTGTTTGTTGTGGCTAAAATAGCTTATTTTGTCTTTTATGGCTAAAATAGCCAAAAAAAGCCAACAACCTATCTTCCCAAACGGAGCCTGAGCCATGTTTTTTATGGATGATCTCAACGTGTAGGATTGTTTTTTCATGTATTGAGTTGATGATGCCGAGGGAGTATATAGATGCTAGTTTTTTTTTTTCCTTTGTTTTTGTTGTTGTTGTTGTTGACGATGATGATGATGATGATGATGATGATGATGAAGAAGAAACAAATTGCAACAGATAGGGAGAGAACAGATGATAGTCACAAAATTAAATAGATAAAAAAAAATATGCTCTATAAATTTCAACAGATAGGAAAAATTAACAATTCCAACAGATAAAATTTTTTGAACAGATAAATTTCAACAGATAGGTTTTATTTGGATAGATATTTGAACAAATAAAGGAAATTTGAATTGAAAAGATTAAAAAATTAAACATATAGGGTAAAAAAATTAAATAGATAGGGAAAATTTTGAACATATAGGGGAAAAACTTTAATATATAAGGAAAAAATTTGAACAGATAGGAAAAAAATTGAGCAGATAGATATAAATTTGAACAAATAGTCAAAAAAAGCCAACGACAAAAATTAAGGAATAAAATTGAAAAATAAAATGTCTTTCAAAACAAACACAAACAAAAGGACTTCTCATCGAAGTATTTCACAAATAGAGGATTTCTCACCAATAAAAAATATCCACTGGACTTAATACCTTATACCCTCTTTAAGTTGGACTTTTCAACAATTATTTCTTCTTTTTTTTTTTTTTTGTAATTAAGTTAACACAAATAATAAAATATCTTCAATTATATGTTCATTTTTTTTTATACTAAAATATGTTAGTAAAGAATGTTAATTAATGGTAATATTATTAATTTTTTGTCATGGCAGAAATTGATGGATTATGATTCTCTCCATTCTAAAATTATAATGGGAGTTCTCCATTGCATTATTCAAGGAAGTGGGGACGCTGCTGCGCAGCCCGCGCAGCAGCGTCCGCTGTGCCGTGATTTGGGCCCATTTCGGGGCTCATTTTGATAATCCGAACCGTTCACATTTTAGAATACATCAAGTATAACATGTCTATAAAAAATCAAGTTAATCGGATATCGTTTACGCATTCATCCACTGACATTTGTATCTACAAAATAAATACAAATGCATTTTAACTTGAATACAAATGTGAGTGGATGAATGCTTAAACGATATCCGGTTAACTTGATTTTTTGCAAGCATATTCTACTTGACGTATTCTAAAATATGAACGATTTAGATTATCAAAATGAGCCATGAAATGAGTTCAAATTACCGCACAGCAGACACTGCTGCGCAACAGTGTCCCCATATCCATTATTCAAAGACTTGTAAATATTTCTTTCTAAATTAAAAATCTAAAGGCTTGTAATGATTCTTTGTAAATTTTAAATATTGATTAATTGTTATGATTATTTCACAATCCTTTGATCATATAATAGAAATCTTCCTTTATAATTTTATAATTGAGAGAATCTCAGTCCGAAATTGATATAGTATAAAAAAAAAAATTTGATTGAGAGTTATATATACTTTTGCCCCTTAAAAAATTATATCTATTTATAAAAGAAAGAATTTCCATTTTTAAAGAAAGAAAACAGCTTTACGGAGGCCGGCCAGGTATGTACGACGCAGCACTCGGTGTCCCTCGGACTTGAAGAGTTGTATCATTTTCCATATATTTGTGTGGTGTTGTAGAATTTCGTTTACGAGGGGATATTTTATTCTAAGAAAATGATATATAAATTTATTTTTGTAAATTTATTTTTTTAATTTAATAATGTGATATTAAGATAATTGATTAATGATTATATAATAAATTAGAGAAAGAATTAATTCAAATATTTTCATAGAGTACACATCATTAAATCTAAAAATAGATTTAAATTTTAAACATAAATAATAAGAGTAATGCTAGAGACCCCAAATATTCTATCAAAAATTTTATCAAATGCGGTGTGGGACCCACACAATGTGGGTTCTATGTGGGTCCCACACTTATGTGAGACATTTGATAAAATTTTTGATAGAATATTTGGGACCTTTAACATTTTTGAAATAATAATACTGTTTATTTTATCTAATTTTTGGTGTGCGGCTGACTTTTGGAAAGTAAACAGACTTGTAGGTGAAACTGAGCATAGATATTAACAGCCATGATACGTACTCCCGGACCTAGGGTTGAGCAAAAAATGGGTAAAATTCGTAATTCGTTGCAGTTTAGTCCAATTCGATAGATTTAGATTGATTTTTTGAATTCGTAATTTAGTTTTGGATTGAAGAATTAAAAATTCGTAATCTACGGATTGGTTCCGGATTGAACCCTACGGTTCCGAATTGGAACTGATCCGAACCGTATACAAATAGTCTATATTTTTATTATATACCCTTCGGTATAGTATCTTCTCTTATTCCATATAAAACCTAAATATAAACCTAAACCCGCATAATATCTTCTTTTATTACTTTTGTTTGGTAGTTTTTAGTTTTGATTTGTAATGATCTAAATACTTATTGTAGAACTAGTTTTTTTTATGGTTATTTATATTTTAGAACAATATATCTCTATTATAGAAAGACATGTTACTATTGTGAAGCTAATATAGTGCTATGCTTATATTTTTATGAAATTAAAGTATAGGGTAAAAAAATTAAATAGATAGGGAAAATTTTGAACATATAGGGGAAAAACTTTAATATATAAGGAAAAAATTTGAACAGATAGGAAAAAAATTGAGCAGATAGATATAAATTTGAACAAATAGTCAAAAAAAGCCAACGACAAAAATTAAGGAATAAAATTGAAAAATAAAATGTCTTTCAAAACAAACACAAACAAAAGGACTTCTCATCGAAGTATTTCACAAATAGTGGATTTCTCACCAATAAAAAATATCCACTGGACTTAATACCTTATACCCTCTTTAAGTTGGACTTTTCAACAATTATTTCTTCTTTTTTTTTTTTTTTGTAATTAAGTTAACACAAATAATAAAATATCTTCAATTATATGTTCATTTTTTTTTATACTAAAATATGTTAGTAAAGAATGTTAATTAATGGTAATATTATTAATTTTTTGTCATGGCAGAAATTGAAAAATATATAAATAAAACTGAGGTAGCAAATATCAATAATATATTCGAGTGGTAGGAAGAGTTTAGAAAAACACAAAAAAATGGGAACAAGCTTCGGCAACTCCACAAGGTTCTTTACTCGCGAATTCAATCCCGCATCATATGAAACCGGTCATCGTAAGTTGACAATGCTATAAATTTCCATTCATTCCTAACCACTTTTAATTAAATCTCATTTTTGTGTATGCGTGTTTGATATTAACTTGAAAAAATCAAAAAGCCAATTTGAGCCAATACCGGCCACTGCACCGAGCAATATTGGAAGGCGATTGGGAGAGAGTGAAAGAATTTTACAAGTCACATCCAGGAGCAGAGACAGATAGCATCACAGAAAGCAAGGATACGGCGCTGATGGTAGGGGTTATGTCGGAGCAGAAAATAGAATTTATAAAGAATCAAGTGGAGTTTGGAAGGGTAGATTTGAGAAGAGTGAACAAAGAGGGGAATACTGCACTTCATGAAGCTGCAATTGCTGGTCATTTAAAGGCTGCTAAGTTTCTAGTTTTAGAAGACAGAAGCTTGCTATCCATTTGTAATTCGGACGGGTATTTACCACTTCACTTGGCCGCTGCCTATGGTCAGAGGGAGATTCTGATTTATTTTCTGAGAGTAGGTGAGGAGCACAACCTACAGCTATTGGGTTTGGAGTTGGATATGCTTATGCATCTTGAAATACACCAAGGATCTTCTAGAGTGTTTTTTTCCTAAAGTTTCTTAAAGTGGTGTATTGTATGATTGAGATTTAATGCTGAAAAATTGATGTGACTTGTCATTAAATCTCAACCACACAATGCACCACTCTAGGAGACTTTAAGAAAAAAAAACTTTAGAAGATCCTTGCTCCTTGAAATAACTGCCAGATTCTTTGGTAAGTACTACTACTACCGCTACTATTATTATGTGATACACCTATTCCTCACAAGTTTTCATGGTCTTTACTGATGGCTAGTATTAGGCCTGTGCAAATAATCGAATCAACCAATTAATCCATTCAAACCGACCGAGCTGATGGAATATTGCATGATTTCGACCGCTGCTAGGGTCAGTTACGAATTACAAACCTTGAATTTTTTGAATTGGCCGTCAGCCAACGAATTAAAGATCAGAAAATTCTTAAAACCAAACCAACCGTATATCTTGGGTTGTTTGGGAAGAGCTTTTTTTAGTTTTTTTGGCTAAAATAGTACTAAAAGGCAAAATAAGTTAAAATAGTCAATAAGACAAAATGTCACATCAAATCTATAATCATTTCACTTTTTCTCTTACAAACATCACATACAACTACAAAAAAATTCAACTATCTTCTCAAACACACAAATTTTAACCTCTTAAAATAATCAAAAACTAAAATAACCTACTAAAATAACAACTTTTTAAACACTCACCTTATATATTAAATATAAATTTTACAAGTGTCAAACTATATTTGGTTTACAAGATTACACCTTAACAAATTTGTTGGTCTTTAAGACACTGTTAGCTTGTCATCATTTTTTCTTTCATTTTATGTCTCACAAATTTGCCAAACATCTCATCACTTATCCTAACCCCTCATTTCTCTCTCTTCAAGTCACCTCACAAATTAATCCTCACCAACCTCGTCAATTTGCATACAACAATGATTCATCCCCCCTTTTCCCCCCACCCCCTTTGACCCTCTCTCTCTCTCATTGGTCACATTTTCTTTTTCTTTTTCTTTTTTTTCCTGCTCCTCCAATCACCACCCGCCACGTGGCAAAGGGGGTGAGGGGGTGACCCCCAAAAGGGGGTCCCAAGCATTATTCATTAGCATAACTCTCTCCCTCTCATCCCTACGTTGTTCTCTCTCTAAACCTACTCTTTCTCACCCCCATCAAAGATCTCTCTCACTTGGATCTCTCTTAATTCTATAAGCAATGTTTTACATAGCATACTGTTGAACTAACGGTGGTGAAGAATCATGGTGGTCGACCGTCGATTGTGATGAATCATAGTGGTCGGCTGATGGTGGTGATGAATCATATTGTCAAGTTTGATCTCCCTCACACCATCTATCTTTCTTTGGTCTCAAATCTCGCTACCCTGCGATCTTCTCCCTCGAAACCCCATCACCAATCTCCCCTCAAACTACTACTGTCGTTGGAATCTTTGTCTACACCTTAACTCCTCTATTTTTTGTGTTGTATGCATATGCTGTCGAAACCGACCTTAACCAACCGTTGATTTCTGTTGAGGAAAGACAGTTTCGAATCAGAATGGGTCGAAATCGGCCAAGATAAACATGAACCTGATACATTCGGTTCGGTTGATGGGTTTACAGTGAACCCGACCCAACGTGTGCACAAACTAGCTAGTATATATATTTATATTAGCATATGTCGTTATGCATTTACTGAACAAATAACTTAAAATTAATTTTATTCACCCAAAAAAAAACTTAAAATTAATTTTAAAATTAGTAATAAATTATAAATATATCTTTTGAATTTTATTTAAAATACGAATTATTCAGAATTAACTAAAAAAATAAAATTCATAATTGTTCTCTTATACAATAGTAAAATTATCTAGATTATTAATTGAAATATATTTCTAATATTATTAAAAATTGATTTGATACTTTTTTTAATAAAATGAGCGATTTATTATGAAATTTGAAACTTCAAGAGGTGAGATATAATTTTCGAAATCACATGAAATAAATCGTATTTTAAACAAATCTCTATCCTAAAATTAAATAATAATATAAAATTTATTTAAAATGTATAGAAAAATAATTTAGAATGAATTAATTTTTAAACATTTCATTAGAATATATGTGTGTGTGTGTGTGTGTGTGTGTGTTGTAGTTGTTACGCCATTAATTGTATTTTCTAAATTTTTAATAAAAAATAGATATTATAATTTAATTGGTAAAGATGGAAAAAAATTTAATAAATTACAATAATTATATTTATAATTAAATAAAAATACATTTTGTCCTATAAGTTTTTCAATTTTAGCTTATTCTATGTTATAGTTTGTCCAATTATATAAAGCTAAAAAATTTCATTCATATTTTCTATTTAAATATACAAATAAATAAATTTTATTTGGACGCTTCCTTTAAATCTCAAATTAGATGCAATTTAGATATCGTTAAAATTTTATTTTTAATTTTCCATCAACAAAATTTTTAATTAACAAAAAATTAGATAGACCAATTAGTTTTTACCATGTATAGCTTATACCACATATTTTTAATTTTTAATTTTTAAAAGAAGACTTATATATGGTTAAACACACGGCATATGTATTTTTTGTCGTGGCATAAAAATTTGCACTGCTTATGTATTTTTTTAATTATGTTTACATGAGCCATGCGAAATTTCTTTTTTAATTAATAAATCTTCTATAAATATTCTGACGGCTAAAAAATTCTTATGGACTGTTTAATTTTCAAAAATAAATATATAAAATTTTGAAGTAAATATTTTTAAAATTCAAATTAGATATGGATTTTTTTTTTAAAATTTCTATATTAAGGTTTTTAAATTTCAAAATCATAGATATGATTAGATGGACTGATATTTGTGTGCCATGTATATTTCTTAAAGTTTAAAAAAAATTTAAAAATTAAGAAATTTAGATTAATCCTTTGAAACTAATGAAAAATCCATTTTTCTTAAGAGAGATGCCACATCTCTTAATTGAGGATCCTAATTTCAACCCCAATGACGTTGTTAAGACTCATGTGAAGTAGTCTCACACTCCTTCTCCCCTTTCTCTCTCTCTCTCTCTCTCTCTCTCTCTCTCATCCTTAACCCCCTAATTCCATATTATTGGAGTGGGATTGGGGGAGCAAAATTAGGAGAATGAATATATGTAGATTAGTCAATCCTATATAAAATAGGAATTTATTTGATAAATAAAAATCTCTTAAAATTAGATGAACTCAATGAATACGACGCATGGTGCCTCTACGTATTCCAAAATTTTAAAATTCCTTCATCCCCTACACCATAATTTTTTATTTTTTATTTTCAATGAGATTTGAAATTTTGAGTGATATATTTTGAATGATAAACATTTGGAGAGAAGATTAACTTAAAATCAATATAGTCAAGAAGGATTTCAAGAACAAATTCTGTGAAATAGTATTGTATAGAGGACCAATCAATTAAACAAAATAAATTGAACAACGATTTAAAAACAAATGTGTGAATACAAGTTATGATACATTTATACATATGCACATATATTTAACATCACATACATCTATTATTATCTATAAATACATTAATATACACATGTTTGGAAATGTAGATACTCAAGGCAAAAGACTCAAAGAGAAAATACGAAAGGAAGAGTGTGGAAAATGCATTTCTTATTATTAATCTTGATAGTACATACAAGTTGTATTTATAGAAGGTAAACTACTGCTGATCTAAGAAGATAACTAACTCCTAACAGTGTAACAAACTCCTAACAATTAGCTAACCAATTCCTAACTGACTACATGACACAACAGCTGAAGCTCTGTTCTTGACTGTTGGAGAAGCCACATTAGAAGCTGCTGCTGAAGCTGAAGTTGTGGCTGTTGTGGCTGGTGCTTTTGCACTAGAATCCTTATCACCCTCATGCAAGCTGATGGGAGAGGGAGAGACCAGAAGCTTGGCTTGAAGATAGTGAAATCGTGAAATTGAGAGAGGCTTTGTGAAGATATCAGCAATCTGATCAAGAGAAGGAATGTATTTGAGAAGTAGCTGTTTGGTAGCAATCTTTTCACGAATGAAGTGACAATTCATTTCAATGTGTTTAGAACGAGTGTGAAACACGAGGTTGGAAGCCAAGGCAATAGCAGACAGGTTGTCACACCAAAGGATAGGAAGAATATGAGAGTGAAGTTGAAGTTCACTGACTAACATGGTTAACCAAGTAAGCTCAGTTGTGGTGTGAGCAAGAGAGCGATATTCAGCTTCGGTTGAGGATCTTGAGACAGTTGGTTGCTTTTTAGCAGACCAAGAAATAAGGTTGGACCCAAGATACACACAGTAGCCTGAAGAACTGCGATGATCGAGAACATCACCAGTCCAGTTCGAGTCGGAGAAGGCCTGAAGTTCAAAAGAACTAGGACTGAAAGTGAGTCCATGTGCTAAAGTCCCTTTGACAAATCTTAACAGTCACTTGACAGCAACAAAATGAGCAATAGTGGGAGCATGCATGTGTTGACAAGCTTGGTTAACAGAGAAAGATAAGTCAGGCCTGGTGATAGTAAGGTACTGGAGGGCACCAACAACACTGCGATAAAGCTCAAGTTGATCAAATGGAAGAGCAGAATTTGGAGCAAGAGAAGGTTTAAATGACATAGGGGAATTGCAGGGCTTACAAGTGGTCATACCAGCTTTAATGAGGATATCAGAAGCATATTTGTGTTGAGATAAGAAATAGGAATCACCATAAGCTTGTATAGATATAACCAAGAAATAGGAAATATCCCCGAGCTCCTTCATGGCAAAGGCAGTATACATTTGAGCAAGAAGAGATTGAATATGAGAAGAGCTATTGCCAGTAACCAAAATGTCATCAACATTTACAAGAAGAAGAGTAATAGTTGAAGAAGTCCTTTGAATGAATAAGGAATTGTCACACTGACTATTAAGAAAACCTTGAGATAGTAAAAACCTGGAGAATGTAGAATACCAGGCGCGAGGAGCCTGCTTTAAACCATAGAGAGCCTTCTTTAAGAGACAAACATGAGTGGGATGAGATGGACTAGTGAAGCCTGGAGGCTGTGTCATGTAGACTTCCTCTTCTAATGTACCATGGAGAAAGGCATTGCTAATGTCAAGTTGCTTAAGAGGCTAGTGATAATACAGAGCCACATACAATAAAATGCGAATAGTGGGTTGTTTGGCAACGGGGCTAAAAGTTTCAGTATAATCAATCCCCTCTTGTTGGAGAAATCCTTTTGCAACCAAACGAGCTTTATAACGAGCAATAGAACCATCAGAATTGCGCTTAATGCGGAAGACCCATTTGCAGCCGATAGCAGATTTAGAAGCAGGCAAAGCAACCAAAGACCAAGTACCTTGAGCAAGAAGAGCATTGTATTCGTCCAACGTGGTAGTGTGCCAAACAGGAGAGTTGAGAGCTTGCTAATAGGTAGATGGCTCAGTGTTAGAAAAAGAGGAAGAAGAAGCCATGAA